GATTTTTTTGTTCTAGACTGTATTCTAACTAACTCATGATGTATTGTAACTAACTCATGATGAAATTAGCATTATTGATTCAGTAGGTGAAGAGCTTTGTAACAATTAGCAATGAAAAGATATTGATTGAATAATCCAAAAATACCCTCACTTCAGTTAGTGGGTGTAGTGATCCAGGCATGAGGAGATGTGGGCCTGAAGTTTTGGAAGTAACAATGAAACTGAAGAGTTTGTGTCAAATCTGATAATGCTATTGGGTAGTCAGTATGTTTTAAGGGATAATTGAATATTGGCGAAAATTAAAAAAATGATTTGTCAACAAACAAGAAACAGAGAACTTTCTTAACTTGATGAAGTGTATCTAAGAAAACTTACAGCTAATATCATGCTTAATTGTGAGAATTAATCAGGTACAAGTTAAGGATGTCCACTCTCACCACCACTCAACGTTATGTTGGAAGTCCTAGCTAATGCAATAAAGCAAGAAAAGGAAATGACCTGTATACAGAAAGAAATAAAACTTTGTTTGCAGACATGATTGTTTACATAAAAAAATCCAAGGAATCAACAAAAACCCCTAGAACTAATAAGTGGGATACCAAGCCTGCAGTATACAGTTAACATATAAAAGTCAATTCCTCTTTTATATCCTAGCAATGTGCAATTGGAATTTGAAATTAAAAACACAATGCCAGTTACAATAGCACACAAAAAATACTTTAAAGCTATAAAACTAACAAAATATATGTGATTTATGTGTGGAAACTATAAACATCTAGTGAAAGGAATCAAATAATATCCATGTAAATGAACAAATATTCCATCTTAATGGATTGGAAGACTCAATATTGTTGGCAATCCTTCCAAATTTGATCTATATATTCAACACATTTCCTATCAAAACCTTAGCAAGATATTTTGTGGATATTCACAATCTGATTCTAAAGTTTATGTGGAGAGACAAAAGACCCAGAACAATTAACAGAACACTGAAGAAGAACAAAGTTGGAAGACTGACATTGTCCAACTTCAAAACTTTACTATAAACTACAGTACACAATACAGTGTGGTATTTGGTGAAAGAGTAGACTGATTAAGGGAACAGAATAGAGAGCACAGAAATAGACCCACATAAATACAGTTACCTTATTTTTGATGAAGGAACAAAGACAATCCAGTGGAGAAAGGATAGGCTTTCAACAAATGGTGCTGGAAAAATTAGATATTTATAGGCAAAAAAATGAACCTAGACACATACCTTACACCTGTCATGAATTTTAATCTGCACATGAATGTTTATAGAAGCTTTATTCATAATCACCAAAAACTGGAAGCAACCAAGATGCCCTTTAATTAGTGAATGGATAAACTGAGGTACATCTGTACAATGAAATATTATTCAACATTAAAAAGAAATGAACTGTCAATCCATGAAAAGACATTGAGAAAACTTATGTGCATATTGTTAATTGTAAGATACAAATATGGAAAAACTACATGTAATATGATTCCAATTATATGGCATTCTGGAAAATGTAAAATTTTAGAGACAGTCAGATCATCAGTGGTTGCAAGGGCTTTCAGGGAAGGGTAGAACTGTTGAATAGGTGAAGCACAGGAAATCTTTAGGGCAGTCATTCTGTATGATACTGTAGTAGGGAATACAAGACTTTGCATTTTTTAAAACCCTTAGAATGGTATAGCACAATAAGTGAACCTTTAAGTATGCAAATTAAACCAAAATAATTTAGGAGGTTTGGAATTCCAGGAAGGAATGCAGACTGTGACAAGAGAATATAACTGTATTAAAAATGTATGAAACAACCTCTATGAAAGGAATGGGGGAAAAGTATCTTTGGAAATGTGTGGAGTTGTTACAACTGAAAGCAAAATGGAACCACACATAAGCACTGTATTCTAGTTGGTAAAGCTTTCATAGGAGTTTCGGTTAACAATCTGATACTACTATAAATTCATATTGAAATGGAACAGTTCCATAAATAGATGGCAGATTGTGGGATCCAAATTTCTTATTGTTGGAATGGGAGTTTACAAATAAGCAAGGGCTTATCTTATCTAGCAAGAGCTAGAATGATCTACGTATAATCCATTACAATTGGAGGCATCAATATGAGCTCATGTTTACTTTAATATAAATGTGGTTGGTTGCATATAAAAACATTTACACATATGTGCATATACATGAATAAGTATAAACACATATATTTTGTGCTCTGTTGGATGAGAGAGCCTAGAAGCAACAAGCAGATTTAATGCTTAGATCTTGGTTTCTAATAACATTCTCTAATAAAAGAAACCAGGGCTCTTTGGAAAAATGACTGATTATAGGAATATGGCAGGAAACAATACAGAGTGAATTTGGACTTTTTATAGTGTCAGAAAGTAAGGAAGTGTACAAAAACACCAACACACACACATACACACCACACACTCATCAGTGTATGTCAAAATGGACACAGGTGCCAACTGAAAAGTCTTCCATTGGCCAAAGCTGGAACAATTTGAGCAACAAAGTAGTAAAGGATTATAACCCATAATCCTTTTCATAATCCTTATTCATAAATCTATGTGAGTATACATAAATGAATTGAATAAATAAATGGGGGAGAAGAGACAAATCTGTGTAGGATTCCAGAGAGGTTATGTAAAATACTCTGTCTTCAAGGAGGTGGAGCATAACTCCTGCCTTTAAGTATGAGCTCTACATAATGATTTCTTTCCAAAGAATACAGTATGGAAGAGGGGGTAAAAATAGAGACTTTGCAATAGAGAAACCTGACATGCACAACAGTAGCCATGTAATCAAAGTCAACATCAAGAAAGAGAACTCATGTTGGTAGAATGCACCCTTTTTATGATATGATGAAAATGGCCCTTTACCTTTGTAGTCTTCCTCAGAATATCTCACAATGATGATATTGTGACATCAGACATTTTCCAGTAGTGGGGTATTCTATAAAATACTTAACCAGTACTCCTCAAAAACTGCCAAGGTCATCAAAAACAAGGAAGGTATGAGAAACCGCTGCAGCCTAAAGAGACATGATGATTAATGTAATGTATCCTGGATGAGATACAGAAAATGGATATTAGGTAAAAATTAAGGAAACCTCAACAACATATCAGTTAACAATGTGTCTGCAGTAGTTCATTAATTATAACAAGTGTATGTAACAAATGTATTACTTTAATAATAGGAGAAAATGGGTGTGGGAATATGGGAACTCTTCACTGTCTTCTCACTTTTCCTGTAAATCTAAAATGGTTCTAAAAAATAATAAAAGAGAGGTCCAAGGTTACATACATACAGAACAGGAGATAATTGAAATTCTGTTGATTGTTACTAGGACACTTCAAAGGGTACAGAGCCGATTGGTAGATGAGTTTTTCTTTTGCAGAGGTATTAGAGAGGCATTAAAGAAATCTTCTGCAGACAGTTTGAGTTCTAAGATAAGGTAAGATTCCCTATGTTGTATACAAACTGTGCCTACCTTTCTAGGCTCACCCTTAATTTGCTGTTGTTCAGCAACATTAGGAGGCTTGGTTGTCCACACATAATGCTGCCTATTGACTCTCAGCTTTTGTTCATGCTGTTCCTCTGCCTGAACCTCTCTTCCCACTACCCTCCACTCGCTTCCACTTGGCTTAGTTGTTACTGACTTAATTCAGCTTCACCTTTTCCAGGAATCCCTTCCTGATTCTCCTGAGTTTGGTGCCTTTTGTTCTTCCCAAACCCAAGGAGTATCTTTATCCTATTGGTCTTACATATTATATTAGTAGTATTATGTGTGGTATGTCCTCTACTTAGCCAAGAACAAATCAAAGCCATAATTTTATTGTGTCCATAACAAGAACAGAAGATAGAAGTTACTGAATTCATATTTATATTACGAAAGATACAGACAGACAACAGATACTTGGGTCTTACGTACAAGAAGCTCACATTTAAAAGCAGAAATCACAATATAATTATCTTTTACAAATAAAATCATGATTATTGAAAATTTTAATTTATTCTCACAAAGCTTATTTTCAATGACTCGAGTTTTATAAGAAAACTTTTTAAAGTAATAGAAGGTGAAAGGTGAAATATTTTCTAATATTAGATTTTAAAGTCTTAGAAAGAGAGAGAGGTGATTTTGATGACCTGAAATATATGTAAATTACACCTAGGCACCTAATTCTTGAATGTTGTGCTATAGAGTCTGAGGATTTTATGGGTGAACTCTTTGGGTGAAAATTAAATCCAGAAAATGTGAAATAGCACAGAAAATTGGTTTAGGTTGACATGTAGATGGACTTATAGTAAGAATTGCTCTCTTTTATATTATTATTTTAGGCTATTTTCCACAAGGAAAATTTCACACTACAGTATTCTCTCTTTACCTAAAGAGGGGGACAGCTCTGAAATCAAAATCTAGATGATAATATGGATAACAGGGCTGAGGGTAATTCTTCTGATTCCATATTGAATACACTGATCGATAGATATCTATAATCTGTTTATATAATTTCCTTTTCTACTTTTTTTATTATACAAATAATCCATGCAATTGTGGAAAACTTTGAAAATGTAGTAGAAATCTATCCAGAGATTAAGAGCTATTTATATTTTGATGTATGTATTTTTATTTTTTAATATGAACATGTGTTACATATACTTATCTTTTTCTCTAAGTATACAAAAGTACATTTTAAACAAAAAATTGGGCCTACAGTCTTGTATATATGCATAACACTCTCTTATTTACAGCCTGTTGACTAGGACATACATCTTTGTCTCAGTCAGTCACATAGTCCCTGTTTCTGTGTCTTATGGAATAGGGTGAAGCACATAGTGTAATTTATGCAAAAAGTTTCCAGATTTGTTGTGAGAACTTGAAAATGAAGCAAAATTATATTCATATGAAGTGACTGGTTTTAAATGCTGACCTTCAGTGTTTGCTCCTATTTATGAAATCATGTTATATTGATTGTAGGGTACAGGAGATATTGACTGTCATTTTAAAATTAAGAAGAACTTGGAAAATGCATCTGTAAGCCTGGAGTCTACGAAGAGCCCAGGGTTGTTTGTTGGACTTCAGTCAGATGGACAGGCAAAACCAGTTATTTACTCCAAAACTGGGAATGTCTTCTTCTATCCACAAGTCATCAAATGTATGTATACTCTGAAATACTTCCACTGTGCTTTGCTTTGTGATGGTTTGTGTACAGTGTCTGATAATTACATCACAGTCTTACTAAGCAAATCTCTGCTGCTGGCCTTTTTTGTTGTTTTTTCAGAAGTGTTGGGGTAAAAAGCATAACGAAGACCATTTACCTCAATTTCTCAGATATTTAAGTTTATATATAGAGTTTTGGCTACATTAAGCTCCTTTAGAGTTTTAAAAATTGTGTGTGTGCACCTGTGTATATGTGTGTGTGTTTTTGTGCATGTATATTTTGTTATTTAATGATATTTCTATTTACACTGAGAGGATATGAGGCTGTTAGAAACATTCTCAGCTTCATTGCTATTAATTTTTAATGCTCACAGTGTAAAAGGATATAGAACAAAGATTAGCCCAAATGGGATTTGACTAAAAATAGAATTTGGAAAAAAAGTCTAAGGATAGGATAGAAATGTGAATATTTTGAAACTAGTTTCTCATATTTAAGTTCAAGTTCTCTAGAAATTGAAATCATCTGTGGATTTTATTTAAACAATTTAAGCTTAGAATGTATTTGAACACAAATGTTAATAAGTTAACTCTGTTTTGTTCTTGAATTATCTCAAAATTTAGTTTGCTGTGTTTTACCTGATACAGTCCCGTGGATTTTGACTTCATCAAAATCTAGATGATATTCTCGTCCAGTCTGACTCTTACTTAACTATTTAACTTCTCTTTTCTTATAAAAGTTTACCTATTATATGCACACACACACACACACACATACATACACATATGTAAAATATTCTTCAGACAATAGTTTAAAATAAAAACATAAAGATCTAGATTTAACATCATGCTATATCTGGCCCTGTTATTTGTGCTATCTGCATCAATTCCTTCAGCCTTTAGTTGCCATATTTGAAATTTTGCAAATTGTTAGGTTAGTACAACTTAACTTATTGCTGTCCATACTACCACCACCCCAACCTCTGCTTTTCCACAGACTGGCATAGAGTGGCACTCACAGTCAAAATAAAAGGGCTTGCTATCTGTCTCTGGACCCCTGAAGGGAAGCTGATGACTTGAGAGAAAGCAGGAACATACAGGGTGGAGTAGAAGAAAAAGTAAAGAGAAATAGCTGTCAGGGGACAGCAACTGTGCTGGAAGAGCACAGGAAGAGAGGAGAACTAATAGAAAGGAAGGAACAGTGAAGAAAAGATGATAATGAAGAGAGAGCAGTATTTAGGAATGGATCTGAGTAAAAGAAAAAATAATTTGTAGCAATACATAAGAGAGAGATAAGAAAAGGCCATGTGTGTCTATCTAGGGTGTTAAATGCCAATAGAACCAAATAGAAAAGAACTAATTCTTTTTACAGTCTCTACAGTCTGGCTCTATTACTAGAGCATGGATGATTTGTTTTCTTGTTTATCAGTTGTATGGCCCTAGTTTAGCCAAGTAACATCAGAAAGCTTTGGTTTCTGTGTCTGTGTAACAGGGATAACAGAAATACCTTCTCTTTCTACCCAGTACAGTCACTGGGGATCAAGCACGTAAATGCTTGAAAAATTCTTATTTCTATGATATAATATAATATGGATAACAGGGCTGAGGGTAATTCTTCTGATTCCATATTGAATACACTGATCGATAGATATCTATAATCTGTTTATATAATTTCTTTTTCTACTTTTTTTATTATACAAATAATCCATGCAATTGTGGAAAACTTTGAAAATGTAGTAGAAATCTATCCAGAGATTAAGAGCTATTTATATTTTGATGTATGTATTTTTATTTTTTAATATGAACATGTGTTACATATACTTATCTTTTTCTCTAAGTATACAAAAGTACATTTTAAACAAAAAATTGGGCCTACAGTCTTGTATATATAAAACAATTTTATCTGATTTTTTTATTTTGGTATCTTTTTTTAATTGAGGTACATACAGTAAAATGAACAAATCTTAGTGTACAGCTCAATAAATTTTGAGATGTATATATACTCATGTAATCATCGCTGATCAAGATATTGATCATTCTCACTATTTCTCCCTTCACCAATTTTTCCCATTTCCCCCACCCTCCTTCCTGAAGGCAACTAACTGCCAGTCTGTTCTCTGTGTCTGTGAGTCTATTTCTGTTTTGTTTGTTTGTTCCTTTATTTTGTTTCTTAGATTCCATATGTAAGTGAAATTATATGTTTGTCTTTTTTTGTCTGACTTATTTTATTTAGCATTATACTGTCTAGGTCTATCCATGTTGTTGCAAATGGCAGGATTTCATTCTTTTTTATGGCTGAGTAGTATTTCATTATATATGTGTACCACATGTTTTTTATACAGTCATCTATTGATGGACTTTTAGGTTGCTTCCACATTTTGGCTATTGTAAATAATGCTATGATATACATAGGAGTGCACATATCTTTTTGAATTAGTGATTTTATTTTCTTTGGATAAATTCAAAGAAGTGGAATTGCTGGGTCATATAGTATTTCTATTTTTAGTTTTTTGAGAACCTCCATACTGCTTTCCACAGTGTCTGCAGCAATTTACAATCCTACCAGCAGTATACAGAAGGTTCCATTTTCTCCACATCCTCACAAACACTTGTTATTTATTGTCTTGTTGATACATTAGCCACTCTGTGTGGTGTGAGGTGATATCTCATATGGTTTTGAATTTAATTTTCCTGATGATTAGTGATTAGTGATGTTAAGCATCTTTTCATGTGTGTGTTGGCCATCTCTATGTCTTCTTTGGAAAAATGTCTATTCAAATGGAAATCAGATTATTTGTTATTTTTGGTGTTGGGGTGTATGAGTTCTTTATATTTTTTGGATATTAGCCCCTTATCAGATATATCATTTGCAGATATATTCTCACATTTAGTAGGTTGCCTTTTCTCTTTGTTGATAGTTTCCTTTGTTGTGCAGAAGCTTTTTAGTTTGTTGTAGTCCCACTTGTTTATTTTTGCTTTTATTTCTCTTGCCTGGGGAGACATGTTACTTATTAGTATTCTCAGAATCTGGGAAATATTGATGGTGAAAGTTTGCATAGTTCCCTTCCTGCTGTTGTAGAAATCCATATTGACCAAGAAGTTCTCACTGATCCAGGGAATCTCACCACCAGTATCATAAATGTCAGAACTTGCACAGAAATAGACTGTTCCAAGAAGTGTTAA